AATCGATTAATCGATTTGCAAAATAATCTTTAGTTGCAGCCCTAAGTAGCAGCTTGATTTCTTTAACAACTAGTGGAGTTAACTGATAAATTAAGCTGTTACAAATCCGGTTGAGGGAACATTCAAACATCTCCCCATCCACAAAGGTAAAGATTTTATCCTTTTGGTTGTTTTTCAAAGAAATAGAGGCTATTCCAGATTAAACCAGTGCAGCCATGTTTACTTTGTTTCGGCCTTCCTCCTTCGGTTGATGCATTGACGTCATACACTGCATTTCGTTGGTCTGAAACATTTCTGTATTGATCCCAACTCATCTGTTGGTTTCTGGCAAGATGTGTTTTCTGGAGTTTTTTAATTTACAAATCTCACGACAATGTATCTTGCTTAAAAGGAGAAAATACAAACTCTTTTAGACTGAAAGCACATAGAAATGAGTGTCTGGTGTCTACGCTTTGACAACGAGTTGGGTCGCGCTCCTTTACTGCCTGGGCCAGCCAGAGTTTTAAATGGGGATAACTGCCTTTAAAATGGGTTGGTTCTCAGTTCTAGGCCAGATAATCCAAAAAAGATGGATTTCCCGATTTGTCACCGGAGAAGTACTGACATTGGACTAAGAGGACCCAATTACTCTTTACAAACCACACAAGGGAAATATATCTCCCTGTTTATGAAGCCTGAGAATGGAGGCAGATTGGGGCATAAATCGGCGAGATTATCTCTCTATCTGCAGCAGCCTTTACCAATTTGTACATTTGGAATTCATCCAGTCTAAAGACAGATTTGTTCATTCTAAATGCATGTATAGTCTGGTTTAAGACTGGCATGAAATCCTGAAAGGTCAGTCACAGCTACAGTTTGTAACAATTATATAAAACATTACACTGATAATCCTTTGAGCAGCAAGTGGAGTCTGGTTTCAGAGGGTTGAACTTAAAAAGACCTTGAAAGGAGCAACTTTCAGAGAATGATTCAGTAATTGGAGGGATTTCATAATGCACACATACTCTATCCCTGACCTTATCTGACTGTTTCCAATAAATTGATTAATTAAAGAAACAAGATTAGGTTCCAATATGGCCAGATGGCCCATTTATTCTATAATAAGAAGTTTTTTTTTTTAATTATGACTCATTTTAAGGATTAAGTATCCTTGAACACTTTATAGTTTTATAGCCATAAGCCCCTTGTTTCCTAATATTAGGAAAGATCAGCTCAATCATAATAAGGATTAGCCCTGTTGTGTCAAAATAATTAAAATCACATGCTAACTCTGGGTGCTTTACTCACTCCTGCCTGTTCTGGCTTAAGCTCAGGCATTCCCATCTAAACGGAGCAGTTGGCTGATACGCTGTGCTTTGCTTGAGGCATTTAAACTCCTCCTCTGAGGATTAAGCTCAATTTCAGAGCAAAAGATAAATAAATAACACTGTTAAGAATAAACACTTTAATAATGTCTGAGAAGCTTTTCAGTTTGAGTAACAGCTGCCGTAAGACTCTGTCCTACTGCTTAATATTAATATAATAATCATGCCTTATGCTGCGTTCACACCGAACGCACTTTGAGAAGCAGTAGCAAACATTTTATATGCAAAATCTATGGCTGAAGTGCAACAATGTGCATTAAACGTTCCTGCAGTGTATTTCAAGCAGCAGCAGCGGATGTTGAAGCATCTTTAGCAGCTGGAGCAGCGCCTCGTGAGCATTTAAGCATCTGAGGTGTGCTGCGTGCATTTAAGGCGCTTCACGAGAAAGTCTGACATTTTGCTGCTCGATGCGCCACATCAAGCAATCACAGAGAGGCTCTGTTAGACTGTCTGTGTCCGAATGTCCGCCCTAACCCCTAGATCCCTCAATCACTATATAGAGCAGGCACTGTATAGTGGACTTTATACTGAACTTAGTTAACTGACCATTTGGACAGATGATCACTACTTCCTGCTCCCCGTTGGTCACTTAACTCCGCCTCCCTGCACAGTGCCTGCGTCATATTTGTTATTAGTTGTCGGTGACGGAGGAGCCGTCATCAGCCGGGAGTTAGATATAAGTCTGTGTCAGCATGCACACATACACAAACACATAAATAATTGCTAGCTTACTTTTTGTGGCAGCTTGGGCTGGCGCGGTTCATCATGGGTGCACACGCAATGTTCCGGCTTCAGTTAACATGTACTCTAACCTTTTTTTTCAACTACAAATATCTTTGTCATCAGAACGTACTGCGTGGTTTCTATTAAATTGAGTATTGTATTTTTCTTTTGTCATTAGTATTGCTTTTGTTATTTTCTATTATTATTTTGTATACATAAAGAGTTAATTGAGTTAGACCCATCTGCTTATTTTGTTTTATTTTTGCCTTCTGTGGGCGGAGCCTGTAGCTTTAACAACAGCTCTGTTACACAGGGAGGCAGTCTGTGGATGGAATCCTGAGAAGTCGCACTGAAGGTGATGGACTCTGACATTCAAGTTATTGATGTTTGACCAAGTCCTAATAGAACCCTCCCACACTGTCACTATGACAAATCCCATGCTACTAGTACTTTGCAAGGAGAGCTCTCCTCACAAAGTATTCTGAGATATATCAGCTCGTCTAGTGACCATCGATGAATACCACTTTTTTGAGTCCACTCCTTTTTCATCCACCAGTCGTTGGGACACTAATTTCAAATGGCGTAACCATATAGTATACTCTATACGCTATATAGTGCCCTATATATTGATTAGAGCGGACGTTCGGACACAGCCTATTTGTTTGTGTTCTGCAGGCATTGATGCAGGGTGGCAGGTTGTCAAACTGGGTTCAGGTTAGATGAAAAAAGCTCTGGAAGCGACCCTCATCAGCACGCAGCTCTTGGTGAAAAACTGCAAAAACTGGACGGCACTGAATTTTGTGGTTTACTTTATTAATTTAATTCACTAAAACATAAATAATTCATGTAACATTGAAAATTGTGAATGAAAGGGAGCAGAAGGAAGTAAAACTTATATCCAGTGTTGGGAAAGTTCTCTTTCTACGTGAACTAGTTCAAAGTTCAGTTCTTACATTTTAAAATGAACTAGTTCAGTTCATAGTTCATAATTCAAAATTTTGAACTAAGTCCACAGTTCCAAAAAATGAA